ATTTTTGATTAAGAAAGAAACAGTTTCATCCATTATATCATAATCTTTGATGATATCTTACCCTATTTTCCCCACCACCTTCTTCTCGTATGTCGTTATTTGATTGAGAACGAAAAAATTGATTCAATATATATAAATTTTAAAAGATGAAGGGAAATTAAGAGAAATATTTTTTTTACTTTAGGTTTTGACGTTTTCAATAATGTGAAGTTGTGAATTCCAAGTTATGATCACTATAAAGTGTGAACTGAAAGCTAAAAGATAAATACAGTAACCAATAAGGTACTAAGATTAATATTTAATATTTATGTAGAAATTAAGTACGGAGTAATAAATTACAATAGTCTTAATGGGTTATCGATTTACTCAATAACCCAATATTAAAAACCAAATCGATAGCTTGATAACTTTTGTTTAATAAAATCATTATAAATCAATTAACGCAATAGCAATAAATAATATTCCCTCTGTCCAATTTATGTGACACATTTTGCTTTTCAAGAGTCAAACAGTTTAAGTTTGACCGAGAATTTGCTCGTGAAATCTTCAAATTTTTTAAAATGAAATTCATATATTTGTAAACTACATAAAAAGTACTATAAGTCACAATAATTGATAAGTCAAAATATTTAAAAGATATATGAAAAATTTACGGTCAAAGATAGACTTGTTTGAATCTTGAAATCCGAAATGTGTCACATAAATTGAAATAGAGGGAGTATCATTTTTCCAACTTAATTTATCGATCACTTCGATTTTTACATACCGCTACTTATTCCGTATCAAAATCCTTATTAACTTAATATTATTTAATTTAAAAATTAATTAAATTAACTCTTGATAAATGAAATAAAACAAAATGTTTTTGAAGGGAGGAATTAAAAGAGAATGTTGAGGTCAAATAAATATAATAGGGACAAAGGGATTAGATACGCCGCCAAAATGAATTGATATGTTTGTCCAAAAACAGAAAATCTGCAAAACTCAAAGAAATTACGTATCACATGTTTACCTTTGAAAAAAGTAAGCTTCCATAAGTTTTTTTCAAATTGAGATCTTTACTAGTAGTATGTTTGTAAGTTTGTGTGAAAGCTAAAAGTATTTATTATTGCTCAAAAAATGAGAAAGTAAATAATTTTGATTTAAAAAGTTCATACTATATAATTATCAAAAAATAAATTTAAACTATAAATGATTCTTATTGATAAGGGAATGAATTATTTTTTATTGGAAATAATAATTATTCAAATTGATTAAAATTATATTGAAGTAATATGATATAGTTGGTTAAAACATTTAGGTAGAAGCGACATTAATTTAGAAAGTTAGAGTTGCTTCTAGGAATATCCTGTCAAACAAAATTAACTTATTTCTTTAAGAAAATATTTTTGGTGAATTTTTATATAATTAATAAATTTCTCATTTTTAGTTATTGTATTCCGCATCAAAATCAAAATCATCTTAATTTACTTATTTGTGTAGGATTTATTAGTATATAAGAAGTTTAAATATTTTTTAAATAGGGATAACATCATTATAATTAAAATAAAAAATAAATTATTTTTCTAAATATGTTAAAATTCTTATCATGTTATCAAGTAATTTGTCTTCCTTTTTTCTACTTAAGAGTTACAAAAGATACATATTTAAACAAATATTTATTTCTTTAATCAAATGTGTTCATTTGTGCGGAAAATTTAAATATGTATATATACTTGTAAACAATATTAATTTTTATTTATTAATTATATTGTTTGTCCGTACCCATTCTTTTAACTTAAAAAAGTATTTAGAATTTAATATATTCAATAATTGCGTAAGTTTTCAACAAGTTCAAAGCTTTACCTACTTTAACCTATTGACTACTACTTTTCGTATTACTAAAAAAGAGAAATTTAAGAATTCGTAGTGAACTCATAATTATAGATTTACTCTAGATGATTTTGTTGATTAATCAAAATGCGTCCAAATTGAGTGTTTGATTTGCGTGAGATTTAGTTACATAATTTTTTCACAAAATTGTTCTTATTGTTAAATTTTTCCTAAAAGGAAAAATGTAAATAAAATACATGAGTTCATTATAGAATTATTTTCTTTAATCAAATTATAATTAGTAATAGGAAATCATTTTCCTGAAAAATACACAGATAAATAAAAAATGTTGTCACATTCTGAGAATTTGATGGACAGGTCTGAAGCTTTGAGGATGAATTTAATGGTAAGCCCAATGCCAATGCTTCTCATTTCTACTACAAGGTAAGTATGATTTGAGATCCACTTCTTTTCACCTGTCATCATAGATATATGTGGGACAAGTGCACAAATATTCCGCTTTTGAGTTCAGTATAAATTTAGAATTTGTATAATTCTGGTATGTAAAAAAAATCTTCTCACATGGACAACGTTTTAGTTCCCTTCGTTTATTTTTACTTGTAATATTTAGATTTGATTTGCTCATTAAGAAAATAATGATTGACATGTCTATTAAATATAATTAATGCTAAAGATAAAATATGAAGATTTTTTTATTTTTAAATGAATGGACATATAAAAGTGAACTAAGTTAATTTCTTAATTAGTGGTCTTTCATTAAAAATAAATAATTTTAAAATACGCTAAAATGGTAAAAAAAAAATAACCTGTCATCTTTTAAGTAAAATATAAAATTACTGTTATTGATGAAGATATTCTTGAAAAGTGATTTACCACGTAATTTTCCCTTTCAAAAATGAAATTACAAGCCCACACATAATGGGCCAAGCACGATCACAATCCAAGCTAATTATGGGCTCAACCAAATCAGTAGATTTGATCCAACAGTTTTCACTTCTCCTCGTTGAATTTCACATTTTATTTTTGTTGGGAAAATTGTATGAAATAGCAAACTATTAATTCAAATTAAATGTTATAGCCATAATTTCTTTTATTTGTAATTCACAGCAAACACTCAATGTTTTTTGCCATCCCATTTGTATTTTGAAATATACAAATAGACCCATTCGGTATACATATGTGTTGTTTAAAAATTAATTGCAAGACCCATTTGTATACCGAATATACAAATGGACCCATTCGGTATACATATGTGTTGTATAGAAATTAATTTCAGGATCCATTTGTATACCGAAGTATACAAATCGACCCATTCGGTATACATATGTGTTGTATATATGTAGTAATTTTGTTTATATACCGAAATATACAAATACAAATTTTTATGTATATGTATACCGAAATATATAGATTAATAGCAATAGCAAACATAAAGTTTGCTATGGAGCGCAATTATACAAACTATAGTTATAACATACAAATATGATTTTTATGTTTGCTAAACCTAAAATTTACTCTTTTTTGTTTTCTGTTTTTCTGAAAATAAACTGATCAATTAATTTAGGGATTTCTATCGAGTGGTTTGATTTGATATTTTCACTTAACTGTTTATCTTATCATTTTTTTAGATATACTAATCTGCTTACATAACTAACCATTACGATATTGATTGATTTGGTGTGCATATAACTTTTATTGATTAGTTCTTAATCGATTTATTAATTAAATGGATAACATTTTTACATAATATCTTAAAACATGAAAGCTAATTGACTTCTATAGAGCCTCCTCTTACCATAACAACTATACTTGATATACAAACATTCAAATAAAAATAGGTCTTTTGAAAATATTCTCATAAAATTTCTCATGGGTCAATTCATACTACATATTCTGTTCAAATCAACCCAACTTAATTATAAATGAACTAAATTGAATAGGGGAGGAGGAAAATGAGTCGTTAAATTGGATAGAATCAATAGGTGGGTGGATCATCGACAAATTGGTGAGTTATATTTTCATGAACTAATTTTTTAATTGAATCGTTTGTTGATCAACATATTTCCCTTAATGCTCTGTCCATGGAACTATTTTTCATGAAAACAAATATTTTTGATGTTGGGTTGCTAGAAAATGCATTGTACGTTACGTTCAATCTAAATCTAAAGATATCAAATTATAGCTTTCGTTTGTTTTCACACATAACAAGCATCGAGTTGGCAAGAATTATTGAATTCAATTTTGAGTAGAACAGAACAAGGAAACATTCAAGGAATGAGAAACCAAAAGAGTAGGTACATTGACCAATAATTCATAGTTAGGCATAATACACTTTTTAGACTGGCTTCAATTGTCGTTTATGCCCTTCAACTTTGAGAGTGAATAAGTAAGTACTTAACTTGTATAAAGTTGAACAAGTAGACACACATGTCCTACATGGCGTAATACAAACTAGTTGTCATGTAAGATGAGTGTATCTCACGCAAATTGACATGTAGAACACCTTGTAGACATTGAAATTTTGTGGGACTCTACAAGACGTGTTCAATTCGAGTTGAGACTCTATAAGGTGGGTTCAATTCCAATTAAGTCTTGGAGGCTACTCAACCCTAAACCCTAGTTCAGTACCCCTATATAAAGGGTACTACATTTCTTTGAAAAGACATCTCGAAAATTCCATAATGAGATCTCGAATATCTCAATATATTCCACAAAAATAATGGAATATTCATATAGAGGTCAAATCTAAATCACCCTACTTCGAGAAATACGCCACTAACGGCTCTCAAATCATGGATAAATCTTATGAGAGAAGAATCAAGGGATCAACAAAATTGTACCCGCAATATTTATCAATAAAGTTATGTTTCTTCTTATTTTACTGTGATTGCAATTTATTTTCTGTCACATTAAAATTTATTGCAAACAGTGTATCTACTTATTTAATATTATACAAGTTGTACATTGTTTCTTGCTGGACTTTAATTGGATGGGAAAGTGAATCTGATCTCAAGACTTTTGAACTTGTTCATATTCTTCCTATTGCCATATGTGAGAAATAGATTTTGAGTCTAACTTTATCTCAAAAGTAGCTTTAAGGATGAATGATTGTTCAAGCCATATAAAGTGTTCACCCATCTCATTAATCATTGCAGAACTTTTTGTCATTCTTTAACCCATTCTCTTCATCTCCCTAAACTTTATACATTCGTTTCTAGTGCCGTCTTTTCTTTTCTTTTTTGTTTGCTATTGAGTTTCAAACCCGACTACATTTAGATTTTCGTCAAGAAGTCCCACATTGAGGTAAACATTTCCTAATAAAGGCATATTCATACCTAAGGAGACTCAAACCTAAGACATCTAGTTAAGGATGATGAAATACTTGTCACTCCACCACAACTCTTGTTGGTGAAATTATGGCATTTGAAACTATATTTAATACCGACAAGATAGAAAGTTTTTCACAACCAAAGGGTATGTTGCAGTGGAGGAGACTACTCCTCATCAGAGGTCTCACGTTCGAACCTTGAATTTAATAAAAATCCTTGATAAAGAGTGTTTCCTCCTGAATGGGTCCTACACAACGCGAATTCAAAATAGTCAGACTTCAATGCAGATACTGAACACCGTATAGAACGCCAAAAGAAAAAAGATAAAAACTTTTCAAGTAAAAAATTATGATCAAAATTTTGAAAGTAAATTTAGAGTATTAATTTTTTTCTTATGTATGATAATTGAATTTCATCTACTAGAATAGTCAAGTCATGAAATTATTCAAGTAGCTTAATTATGTCACTATTAGAAAAAATGTTTTTCTCACAAATCAGTTAGTCTTTTTTTTGTGATTAAACATTTCACCATCTTAGTCAAAGAGAATTCAAAAACCTTTTTTCTTTTGTCTTTCTACTAAATACTAATGTGTTAAGATCATAAAAGATCAGGCATTGGTGGGGTAGCTTTACCTTAAACCACTTTTTCTTTATCTTCATCAAATCATTTTCCTCCTCTCTTCTTTTTTTATTTTTTCTATTTTGAAAAATATTTGCTTTATTCATTTGAATGGACTGAGAAATTGGCTAACTCCACAATTTATGGTGATATTATTCCTCCACATCTCCAAGGCCAAAAAGAAAAAAGAAGTCCTTTTCTTCACTTTTTCTTTTTTATAAATCCTTTATAATAATAATAATAATAATAATAATATTTGGAGTTTTTAATCTCTTTCCATAGAATGGCTCTTTTCATTTACAGGCTATCATGGACCCATGGTGATGGCACCATACCTTCTTCACTTTAATAAAGTTTTCAAAGTTTTTATAAAGACATAACACCTAGATGGGCATATAAAATTGAACAAGTAAATACATGCATTTTACATCACGTCTCCAGTGAATTGGCACGTAAAATGCGTGTGTGTACTTCTTTAATTTTATACAAGTTTATGTTCCTATTTGTGCACACTCAAAATTTGAGGACACAAAATCCAATTGAGGTCAAATTAAAGAAAACGTTTTTGTATTATGCCCTTTAATAAAAGAACAAAACTTAATTTCCCTCCAACTGCGATATCCAATTTAGTTCATTTAATTTTTGGTTGCTAAAAGCTCTTTTTTCTTCCCTTTTATATATGCTCATAAAGGAAAACCACCAATTGGAACAATTGGCCATGAATGGTTATAATCACTAGCAAGTAAGCAATGAAATATCAACCAAGTAAGACAAAATAGGAGGCTAAATATCATGATTCTTTCTAAGCTTCTTCTAATTAGAAAAAAAGGTTCTTGGGAGTAAATAATTAAATTAAATATGCGTTACTAATTAAGAAAAAATACTCTTAATATAAGCTCTAGAAAAGTCACATCAAATGAAACACAAGTTGCATCGTGTGTGAAAAGGTGAGAGAGATTAGAGATAATATATACAAGGACTTTAGAAAATCAATATTGAGATTTGAGATATCCTAAATGTAATTTTCGTATTAGAGGCAAATGTTGTTTTAAACTAGTATATACGTCGCTATCGATTTAATTATCATTTCAAGTATGCACTTTTGTGGCAATTATTGTACGAGCCATATAGTTAAATTTTTAAAAAGATAACAAACTTTTTTTAAAATGATCAATTCATAAAAGTTAAAAACTCTTTACTACCTTTTATGTTCAATGGAGCATTTGGAGTAGTTATTTTGCATATACTAAAACAATTTTTTTGTGATCCAATTGTGTAGTTGAAGTAATAAGTATTTCTTCATTTTTAATTAGAGTTATCAATTTCAAGTCTTAGAAATGAACTCGTCTTTGATAAGGAGCACTTTAATTATAAGTAGAACTTTCCGACGTGAACTTCAATCTACAAAAAGAGTATCGAATATGAAGTGAGAAATAAAAAAAATTAAGAAGATTTTATAGCATATAACGAATATTCATATCGACTTTAATTTGAAAAATAAACACAGAGACATGTAATAATTACCTATGTGTGGCTCTTCAGGTTGCATTCAGACCAAATGACTCTGCCACTTAATTCCCATCTTGAGGTTACTAGAATTTCCTGTCTAAATGAAAAAAAGAGTTTCAATTGATTTCATCATCATATACCTGCAGTACACAAAATCAAGATAGAAACTTAGCACCAAAGGAAGAGACGTGATATAATTGCATATCATGATACAATATACTAACACATAGAAAATGAACAGACAAAATACTAAACACAATAACAATAACATATTTAGTAAAATCTTATACGCAAATTTTATCATTATCTCTTTGAGGCAGAGAAATACTAAAGAGACAAATATAAAGACGTAAAAGATTAGAAAATTAGAGGGGAAGCAAACATGATATAGGACTCATTTTTTGTGATTTGTTGGAAAATGCCAACAAGATTAAAAAAAATATATAAAAAATAATTTTTTAAAAGAAAGAAATTTAACGTGGCACGCATCACATAAAGAGGTGAGTTAATATCCATCCATGGTAGTAAAAAAATAAATTGGACTCATATATATGACACAAAAACTACCAATTTGTTATTGACATATACACTCTCTTCTTACATAAAAAAAAAAATATATCTCATCCTCTTTTTTTTTCTTTTTTTTTTCTTGATGGGGTTTTCTTTTTCTCTATATAAAAAGTATATATATGTTCCAATATTGCCCTTGTCCAATAGAAAATATCAAGTGTTATTGCCAATGGTTGCCATGGTGAATCATATAAATATGGCTACTATTATTCCCATGACTATGATGATAAGCATATTGAGGAATCTTGGCCGTGACTTTCTCAGGACAAATAGGAAACATCACCGGTGACGATCTTGTTCTAATATGACGTATGCGCCCGTTAATTGTTTCATCTAAAGAATTTCGTGTCACTTTTTTATATGGTCTTGGACAATCATGATGCCTCGTTGACGCAGGAGGGCTAGTAACGGTTGAACAAAATGAACTTGGTGATGACGTGGCATCGGGGTTGCTAATAGTGGTACTATTGGTGGATGAGGTAGAAGCAATGGAAGGTGTAGGAGATACAACTTTTTTTGTGGATTTTGGTGGATATAAGAAAGCCCTGATCTTGAGAAACGATGATATTGTTGAAACATGATCATATTCTTCGATGAGATTGACTAAATCTTCGTCAGATGTTATTGATACAAGAGCGTCTAGATCTTCATTTGGCAACTGACACCTCAAACTCACTGTTGATCCAGACATCTCCCCTAACTTCAATAATAGCTCTGAAAAAACAAAAATCGATATGATATCTAAATTAATTAAATATGATATGGTAAAATATGTCGTAAAAGTGTAAAAAGAAAATGTCGTACCTTGTTGAAACATAGTATGACATATAAAATCAAAACGATGAAACATAAATTATAAATTATACGATGAAATAAATAACAACCTGCGAATGAAATGGAACGATCAACGGAGAGGACACGTGTTTCGCCACCATAATACCGGAGTTTTCCATCGGTTTGACGGGGCATAATCTTGCCACCATAGCTACAAAGGAATTTTAGAGGAAAATTATGGGAATTATTGGATGGACTAACCATGCTTTTTTTTTCTTTCTTTTCTATTTTGCAAGTATTGGAGATATTATAAGTGATAATTTAAGGGGTTTTGAAGAGGCCTTAGTTGGTTGTTCAAGCCTAAGTAAGGTTACCTTTAGCACTTATTTATAGAGTTTTTTTTTGGGAATGGGAGAAGATAAGAGGAAAATTGGATCGGGTCGGGTTAGAAAAACCCAAAAAGAGACCCCACTTTGATGTTTGAACACGTCACCTAAGATTCCCATATTGGTGGGGCCCCTTGTTAGTTTAATTAAGATTTCTTTTTCTTTTTTGTCTTTCAAAGTTTAAACAAGTGGTGTCCAAAATGGTTGAATTGTCATCACAATTAATAAGTACTCCCTCCGTCCCATTTTATGTGACAACATTTGAT